TGCTTTTTCTCATAGGATAATTATAAAGCTGATCATTATATAGTATGATTTTTGATGTTGGATGTTTTAATTTCATTAGCCAGAAAATACCAGTGCATAAAGTATTGACAGTGATAATCTCTCTGAGAATTAGATTTTCCTGAGAATTGTACTATTGAGGTGAATGTGAATAGCAGTAACATTATCAAGTATCATTTGTATATTGGCTCAGTGTGTTTTTTTATGGCAAAAGTAAGAATACAAAATGTATTCTTCTTCCAAGCATGGAAGCATGGTAATTTAACCTTCTATTTATTTATTTATTTTCCTTTTTTCAAGGATAGCATAACAGTTGTTTTAAGAAATAGTTCTGCTGCAATTAGTTTTAACATTCTTTACCACTTGCTGTTTTCTTAAGACTATTCCATTTTGCCTGATGTCAGTCAGATGGAATGCTTTTTACTCTTACAAAAACTATTGATAAATATGAGTTGTGCTTGAATGCTGTTTTGTATTAGAAGCAGAAAAGTCTATAGCACCTGATTCTACTGCCTGCATAGTGTATTTTTTATATATGTATTTTTTTACAAGGAGGAGAAAGAAGGAAGTGGGAGAAAAAATAGGTAGGTGGATATTTTTAGTCAGTTATTTTAGGAGGGTTTTCAGAGATTTTAAGAATGTTTTAATCACCACTAGCAGATATGTTGATGAGATGGACAAAGCCAGTCGCACTCAGGAGAAGGTTTTGGCAAAGATGGAAGGTCTGCGCAAAAAACAGTCCTGCTCCCCAGAGGAACTCAATAAGCTCAGAAAAATGGTTGACAAGCAGCATAGGGTTATCACAGCTGAGCAGCGACAGCAACGCAGAAACGACCGAAAGGCAGGAAACCAGAAGGCAGGCAAATCAAAGAAATTCAATATCGACAATAAGGTAAGCCAAGCACCATCTCAAGAGTTGCACCAGTTTAAAAATGTTTGCACAGAAACTGAAGACAGGAAAGAGCATGATGTAAATAAGGAGTAATCAAATTTGTTTTCTCTTAGGGATTCCCTGTAGATGCATCACTGTTGCATGCTGCCCTACAGGAGCTGGAAGCCTTGGCTGAAGACTCGCCCAACGAGGGCACAGCTGGCATCAGCACAAGGGGTTACGATGCCCTCTACCTGCACGACGTGACCTATCCTGATGGCTCCGAGGTGGCTCCTGGGACAGAGTTTGTCAAGACGTGGAGGGTCGCTAATACTGGGGTGGAGCCCTGGAATGAGAAGGTGAGGTTTCGTTGTCTTTTTCGTAGATTAAAGGCAAGCGGACAAAGGAAGTTTAGACAAAAGAGATGGTCATCATAGTAGTTTTCTTGCATTAGGTTGTAAAGAGTGAGTGAAGCTAAAGTTATTATCACTTTATTTTATAAATCTGTTTTACCATTAAAGGGTTTCCCCTTGATGCTGTACAGAAACATAAAGATCACTATAACATGAAAGGGTTCAAAATATTGTAGTAATTAATCTTGCTTAATGATCCATCTCAAGACAACGTTGTGCAAGTGGAGCCAAGTGCGCTTCCGTGGCTCTCCCGCTGGCTGGAAGCTGAAGCCGTCCTCCAAGAAGGTGGTGTGCCCCCCCCTGGAGCCTGGCCAGGAAGGCGACATTTCCATCACCTTCACAGCACCAAGTAAGTTTTTTTCTTTCTGACATTTTGTGTTTGTTGGGTGTGGTTTTAGGTTTGAGTGGCTCAGAGTATGTGGTTGAAGGTATATATATTGTTTTATTTAGAGAAAAAGTGATAGTTGTTTTGCATCTGTAAGTCCTTGTGTACAAGCAGTATCTATAAGTTAGAATGTAAATGACAAAGAGTTGTAAATAACTAATTGAAATATTCCTTATTTGCAACAACAGGTGAGCCAGGTTGGTATGCTACTCACTGGAGGTTCTGTCAGCGAGGTCGTGTTTTCGGGAACCAGATGTGGTGTGCTATTTACGTGGCAGACCGAAATGTGCGTGAGAAACTGGAGCCTGTTCAGGGTGAAGATGTTGCAGTAAGTGCAGTCAGTTTTTGATCCTGATTATTTTTTTTTATTTTTTATTTTTTTTTATTATTTTTATTATTATTATCATGGTTTTTGTTATTATTAATGTTATTATTATTATTGTTATTATTATTATTATTATTATTATTATTATTATTATTATTATTATTATTACCATCATCATTGGTACTAATACAGTAAGTTCCCAACTGAAGAACATAATGTAAGTTGATTTGTTTGTAAGTCGAAAGTCGGGTCTCCATTACCTTTTTTCCCATTGTTTTAAAGTTTTGTTTACATTAAGAATACCTGTAAATAAATAAGTAAATACGACATACCTTATACAGTAGCAGACTCTTGAACTATATTCATGCCCGGGAAATTTGAAGTTTGCTAACATCTTTCAAACAATTTTTTGGACTTTAGTACTTAAAAAATTTTGTTTGTATGTATGGAATGTTCATAAGTAGAATGTTCTTAAGTAGGGGACTATCTGTATATATATTGCTCCATATATCTTTTACATAATCTTTGGTGCTTTGGAAATGCGCTTTGGGAAGTGACTTCATTGAAGCACAGTATCACAAGCCCTCTCTCTTCCAGTCTGCTGTGAGGCTCATGCTCTCGGTGACTCCAAAACAATGTCCGTCAAAGGCCAGTGCTGGGAGTGAGGAGACTGTCTGTGATAAAGAGGAGGAAGAGGAGGAGGACGAGGAAGAGGAAGAAGAAGAGGAAGAGGGAGCCAAGGCACTTAGGAGTAGCCAGACCAAGGGCGACCTTGAGGGCGGCATTGTAGAGAACTACTATGATGCAGAGGATCCGTTTGAGAAGGAGCTGAGAAAGGTAGAGGTCTCCAACTGGCCTGAGGTCTTGCCTTTGATTGAGGATTTGCAGTTTCTCATTCCACTAGCTTCTCATTCCACTTCTCTCTCCCTCTCTCTCCCTCTCTCTCCCTCTCTCTCCCTCTCTCTCCCTCTCTCTCCCTCTCTCTCCCTCTCTCTCCCTCTCTCTCTCTCTCTCTCTCTCTCTCTCTGTCTCTGTCTCTGTCTCTGTCTCTCTCTCTGTCTCTGTCTCTCTCTGTTTCTCTCTGTCTGTCTCTTTCTCTCTGTCTGTCTGTCTCTCTGACTCTCTGTCTGTCTGTCTCTCTGACTCTCTGTCACTCTCTCTCTCTCTCTCCTCTCTCTCCCTCTCTCTCCCTCTCTCTCCCTCTCTCTCCCTCTCTCTCCCTCTCTCTCCTCTCTCTCTCTCTCTCTCTCTCTCTCTCTCTCTCTCTCTCTCTCTCTCTCTCTCTCTCTCTCTCTCTCTCTCTCTCTCTCTCTCTCTCTCTCTCTCTCTGTCTCTCTCTCTCTCTCTCTCTCTCTCTCTGTCTCTCTCTCTCTGTCTCTCTCTCTCTGTCTCTCTCTCTCTCTCTCTGTCTCTCTCTCTCTGTCTCTCTCTCTCTGTCTCTTTCTATCTCTCTGTCTCTCTCTGTCTCTGTTTCTCTCTCTGTCTCTTTCTCTCTGTCTGTCTGTCTCTCTGACTCTCTGTCACTCTCTCTCTCTGACTCTCTGTCACTCTCTCTCTGTGACTCTCTGTGACTCTCTCTCTCTCTCTCTCTCTCTCTCTCTCTCTCTCTCTCTCTCTCTCTCTCTCTCTCTCTCTCTCTCTCTCTCTCTCTCTCTCTCTCTCTCTCTCTCTTTCTGTCTCTGTGACTCTCTCTGTCTCTGTGACTCTCTCTGTCTCTGTGACTCTCTCTCTCTCTGTGACTCTCTCTCTCTCTGTGACTCTCTCTCTCTCTCTCTCTCTCTCTCTCTCTCTCTCTCTCTCTCTCTCTCTCTCTCTCTCTCTCTCTCTCTCTCCCTCTCTCTCTCTCTCTCCCTCTCTCTCTCTCTCTCCCTCTCTCTCCCTCTCTCCCTCTCTCTCTCCCTCTCTCTCTCTCCCTCCCTCCCTCCCTCCCTCCCTCCCTCCCTCCCTCCCTCCCACTCCTTCTTCCTCTTTCCCCTCCACCCTCCCTTTATTTCTTCCTTTTTTCTCAACTTCTCTCATAATGGAAACATATCTCTAAACTTCTTACTGTAATTTTGTTTATATGAATGTTAGAAAGATGACTTTATTTTCCAGAACCTGAAGAGCTTGAGCCTTTGCACCAGTGTGAAAGCCGAGGGTGTGGAAGTACGCCGGGCAGAGCGGGATCTCATCTCCTTTGAGGAAGAGGCGGAGGTGGTCTCTTCAGGAACCACGACACCGGAGATGATCCAGGATGTTCCTCAGACGCATGCTGTGGTCAGTAACTTTTCCACATATTAACCCATTGCCGCCGGGGATGGCATGTACGTACATGCCATGCCCACTTTGAGTCAACTTGTTCGATGGTTTTTACACATAGATGGCTACACTTGTACTAAGTATCCAATGAACCAATTACGAGAACAGCATGTCTCGCCCGTTCACCCTTTTCATCGATTTACGATATTTAACGTTATCCTAATTTGCTGTTAAAAATAACACTATCTATATTTATAGCACTAGTAAGAATACGTTTTTTCCCGCCAATTCAAGGAAAGGTGAAATCAGGACTAGCAGAGCCATCTATGGACAGACATATTTCACAAAAATATAAAAAATGAGTACTGCATTTCCCCCATTTTTTGTTAATTTTCCCCGGCGGCAATGGGTTAAAGGAAAGGGTGGTCTGTTTTTGCACAGTGTATGAAAGTTGAAGAGCTAAAGGACACATTTTATTCTTGAACCATTTTGACAAATTTCATGAACGTGACTATAGGCTAAATGATGAGATTATCACATGTAGTCATATTTTATTGTTCATGGAATGATTTTCTAATCAAAGGTACCGCTCAAGGAAATGGCCAAAGAATCCGTGGAGTCCCTGAGGGAGTCAATGGTGGGAAAAGACCAAGAATCGGGAAAGAAGGAGTCGTGCAGACCCAAAGTCTTTCAGGCTGACACTCTGAGCATCTCTAGTGGGTCCTTCTCTGAATTAGATTCTGAGGATCAAGCCATCTTGAATGAGTCTGACACGGAATACTCGGACAATGAGTATTGTCTTGTAAATCTGCCCGAGTGCTTCAATGTTCCCTCGCCATACAATGGTAAGTGGTTAGAGGAAGATTTGAAGTCCGTTCAGTGTTTCTAGTTTGGGCATTGTTTATAAAGATATTGTGTTTCAATGTGTGACTGATAATTGTTGCACTTCTTCCAGGTCTTGCTGAATCAGTTGTGCAAGATATGCATGATGTAGACCGACCAGACTCGCCAGATTTCCTAACGGCAGATGAAGATGACCGAACAACTGCCGTAGCCTCAGACTTGCAGGATGACCAGGCTGAATCAGTGGAAGGTTCTGGAGGATCGTCAAATAATTCTACTACTTCTCAGGGAAGCCATTTGTCCACTGTAGTTGAGGTATCTCAAGAAAAGGCCCAGACCCCACCGCAGGCAGAATCAGGGAAGAAAATGCCGATGCCAGAGCCACCAACAGATACAAAACCCTTCATGGAAGTCCCTGCTGAAGCTTTGAGAGCCAACCTTGCTTACGCAGTTCAGCAGTCATCAGGGAACAGAAACACTGAAGAAGGTGAACAGTCGAAATCCAAAGACGACACCACCTGGTCACTGAGTGCACAAGCTGCACAAAGTGTTGTATGCGAACAGCCTTCTTCCACCCAGGTAAGTCGCCTGCATGAATCCTTTTTGGTCAGAATATTACGTAGGGCAAGGTTAGTTGAGGAAAGGAGCAGAGATCAATATTGAGCAAAACTTAGTAACTACAGTAAGTAAGAACAAAATTGGTCACTTTATCTCGGCACCAACTTCTCATTCAGCATAAGGATCACAGGCCACTCTCAAGATGTATAGATGGCAAGGCAGCTGCCATTGCTGCTGGAGGGACAGACTTGCCTTTGGATCTTGTTGGTGCACTGCCTGATGAATTGGTCAGCATCATCCCAGAGGATTTGGTGCGTGGGGCATGGAACACTGCCCGCTCCTTCATCACACGAATCAACCAGGTTAGCTGAATGCTGTTGCTTACTGGATTGGGTATTTCAGAGGACTGGTGAAACAGGAAGTTTAGGCAAGGCATTGCAATGTGAGGTTGTCAGGCAAGCTGAAGAATGTAGGTAATGTGTATGGTTTAAGGTGATAATAAACGTATTACGTTTATTATTGCAGGAGAGTGAATTATCTTTTCTTCTATTCAGATTATCGTCCAAAATACTGTTCTCTCTGCATATAGAAAATAAATAGCCAACATTTCTTCCTCAGGAAATGCTATCACCAACTGGAACCGATTCTCCTGATCAAGTCTACGCTTCGGAAGAGAGCTCAGCCCCCAAGTCAGAGCCAAAAGAAACAACCCAGAAAGAGGAACCCGTTCGGAAAGAGGAATCTCCCACTGAGGTGAGAGACGAGAAAAAGAACTAGTTCTTGAGTTTTTGACTTGTTGTAGCTCAATTTCCATTGCCATTAACATGGTAATCTTTAAAGGAGATGGAGAACATACCTTTTCATTGGGGGGGGGGCTTTAGACAAGAGCTTAAATGGAAGTGGTGGTTGCTTTGAACTGAGTTATGTTGACTGTGAAAGGCATTATCTGAAATTCAGTCTCAGCATTTACCTTGTCATTAAACAAAGTTAGCCTTCTGTTACTCAAAGACCATTATTAGGTATTTAGATAGATATCCTACCTCTCTTTTGAGTGCATACTGGTTGTTCATTTTTGTAATGTCCTTAGTTATTTTGATATTTTGATTTCCATGGGAAGTCCTTTTGTGGTGTCTAGCTGTCATTTTCAAAGCGTTATATTCATTTCACATTTTCAGGCCAATTAGAGGTGCTGGAAGCTTCTGTACTAAGGCATGTAAAGCTAATGCAATCTTATTATTTGCTCTAATGATAGTCGAGATGTGCATGATTTTGAGTGTTATTTATCCTTGAGAAAACTGTTGTGTTTTGATATAGATTGGATGTCACAGAAAAGTAGTTAATAAGAACTACCAGTTTTAGGGAATGGTTCACAAGGAAATGGACTGATCCTTTTTACACTGATACAGCAAAACACCATAACTGTTCTTGATATGAAGTCAAGAACAGCTGTTAGTTTGTTCCTTTTTCAAGTGCATTTCACCTCGGTTTACCCAAGAATTTTGTGACTGCAAACTGCATGCACCTCTGATTTTCCTTTGAATTAAAAAAAAAAAAAAAAAAAAAAAAAAAAAAAAAAAGTGCATTAGCATAGCTTATGAATGTATAGTGTACAGGAGAAAATACACTGGAGTTAGCATTGCCCATTAGTTGCAACTGCAGTTTTTCTCAAATTATGAATTAAAAAATTGTAAAAGTATCCTTAGGACTATTTCTTCCTTAAATATGCCTATAATGAATTTTGAATATTGCATTCAAGAAGCTCTGATACATGTAGTTTTACCAATAGTATCTATATATAGCCTATAAGGGATATAAAGGAGTGGTTTAGTGTTTCCAAACTCTTTTTCTCAGATATTATCAAAATGGTAGTTTGACAATATTAGGGATTATGATAGGCACAGTTGTGATCATTTTTTTTTTTTTTTTTTTTTTCTAACTTTTTTCTGATTTTGTCATTCAGTGTTGAGCGAGTTGAACGTGACCACTCGCTTCAGCATTGCATTTTTTGGTTGTTGCAAATTTTCTCTTTCTTTTCCTATATTATTTTCAACTAAAGTGACCATGCCTGTGTTGTACCCTCAGAGACGGACTTCACCCTTGCCGCCCCCTATGCAGCAGCTTGAAGACATGGGCTTTGGCAACCGAGAAGTGAACCAACGCCTTCTCACAAAGTACAATAATGATGTTTCATGTGCTGTGGCTGAACTCATAGTTCTCAATTGTCAGTAAACAAAAAAATATTTAAATAATTTCATCATCGCTTGTTACCTACTGGCTGTCACTCTGATAGATGGAATGTATGTTCATGAATAATTTATCTTGAATATGAAGAAAGATGATGTAGTGTTAATTGTGATAGGAAATAAACAAGTTTAATGTTTAGTCAAGAAACGTTGATACATTTAGTTATTATGATTGTCGTATTAAATATTAGGCGCGCAGGAATGCTTTCTCAGAAGATTGGAGTTTACACATAATATGGTGGGACCATGCTTGTGTATTTGTGTTTTATGTTACTTATATGTTAACAGATGTATCTAAGGGAAAAATATGGGATGGGGGGGAAGGGGAAACGCCAAGAACATCATTTTATTTGTAAATAAAATGATCATTCGTCCAGCACTTTCTCTTATGTTGTTGGAGTAGCTTTATTGAGTAATCCTGAGCTTCTGGAAATTTTTGAATTGATATTCTTTGCAGTTGCTCTTCTGTTAATCCATTATTGCTGGCCTTACTAAACACACAACTTGAAAATTTACACTTGTCTTCATAAGAGACTCCAGCACAAGGTTTAGTGGTAAAATTTTGTAGTTTTTGATGCACAACATAGGGTAATAGGCTGTATGGGAAGCTTTTATTTTCATTATTGATATTGTTATTATTATTATTGTCAGTATTCTTATTGTTATTATAATTATTGTTGTTATTATTATTATTGTTATTATTATTATTATTATTATTATTATTATTATTATTTTTATTTTTATTATCATCATCATTATTATCATTATTATTAATTATTGCTATAACTCTTGCTATTGTTAGTACCATTACTGTTGCTATTACTATTACCATTACTGTTATTATTATTAATGTTTTTTTTTTTTTTTCCCCTCATAGTTGGTATAACCTTTATCATTATTAGTGTAATTATGATTTGTTGCTTTTGGTATTATTATTATTGTTATTATTATTATTAATTTTTATTTGTTATTGTTATTATTATTATTACTACTACTATTGTTATTATAATTATTTTTTAAATATTATTATAATTATTATTATTATTATTATTATTATTATTATCATCATCATCATTATTTTTATTATTATTATTATTATGATTGTTATGATATTTATTATTATCATTATTGTTGTTGTTGTTATTATTATTATTATTATTATTATTATTATTATTATTATTATTATTATTATTATTATTATTATTATTATTATTATTATTGTTTTATTATTATTATTATTATTATTATTATTACTATTACTATTATTATTATTATTATTATTGTTATTATTATTATTATTATTATTATTATTATTATTATTATTATTACTGACAGTATCAATTGTTATTATAATTATTTACGTGATTCTCATTCTTATTCTTATTCAGTCATATATGGAAGTTATTATTATTATTATTATTATTATTATTATTATTTTTATCATTATCATTATTATTATTATTATTATTGTTATTACCATTACTATTATGATTATAATGATGATTAATGTTAGTTATTCTGGTGATTTTCATTAAACAATATTGAAATGAAATATTTTAGGTAGAGATAAATTTTAGATAAATTTCGGTAAGCATGATGAAGTCCCATTATTTATATTTGTCTATTTTTTTTTTTTACTATTACTACTGGAAAAAGAAAAATACATCACAAGGATAATTACATTGTTTCTCTGCAGAAATAGAGGAGTGAATAGTGCTGTGATTGCTGATGGTAGCTTTCATTCCAGTTTTATTACACAAACTTCAGCTTTTTGTGATCTTTTTGTACTCCCCTTTTATAGAGTTTGCCGAGGTGGTCTGATTTCACCTGCAGAGGCAGCGTTTTCCTCTTTTTAGTTTTGGTAGAATGGCTTTACTCTCTTAGGATAGTTAATGTTTTTTTGTTTTTTTTTGGATAAGCAGTGTTAGTGTTGCTTAAGTTTGGTCTTATGATTGTCTGCAGATTTTCTTTCTCCTTTTTTTCTTTTTGTTTTTTTTTTATGTATTTTTTATGTATTTTTTTTTTTCCCTTTACCTTTGCCTCCTCCTTCCTCCTCTTTCAGCTCCTCCATCTCAGTTACAGATTTAAATTATTTGACCACAAACTCATATTCGAGATCTCTTCAGCTTTAGCACAGATAACTGGAAACAGAGAAGAATTAGTCCATATTTATTTTGGATATGCTCGCTTTGTGAAATTACCAGTGTAACCCTTTCATCTATCTGTGTTTCATCTCGGCGATGTCTGTTGCTAAGGAAGAGTCGTGTTTATCTGATCCTGTTTACTTAACTGAAAAAAATGAACTGCTTAGATCATTTGCAATATGTCTAGTTATTATTATCATTATTATTATTATTTTTTTGCTCTTCAGTCTTAGTTCTTACCAGATATTGTGTTGTATGATTCACCGGTGAGAGTGTGGTAAGTATGAATAATAGATTAGTATAACGTGAGACACCTGATTGGTGCCGTAGCAATTATATTATTATGGAATATTATGTCCATGTTTGTAAGTGTGTATGTGTACTTGCCAAGGTTCACATATACATAATTACAGACATATATCCATACTATACATATATATACACATATATACTATATAATAAAGTATGATGCCATACATATTTTGTTTTTCTTCTGTTCCAAAGCTTGAGGTCATACAAGGATTATGACATTGATAATGATAATTTGATGTTTATTTTAATGTTATTTGGTTAAGTGAAGTAATTACAAATGGAAAAGGAAATAACAGTGCAATATACATTGTAAGAAAGTTCATCTTTTTGGATAATAGTGCAAGTTCTGTACTACAAAGTATATACATTTCATAGTTTTCAACATGAAATATCCATTTGCCTGTCTACTTCCTCTCCTCATTAGAAACCAGTTCTTAAAGCATCTATGAATATAATGGAAGGTAAATACCATGCTCCAATTTTCCACTGTACCCTGCCCGGTGCTTCCAACATGGCTGTCTGTCAAGACCATCATGTACTTAAAAATGTGATTGCCCCATATATGGAGGATAACTTCTAAGCATTAGCCCTTTTGTGGGAAGGGACGTTGTCTCTTGGATTCTTCTAGTTACTCTTTTTTAGCATTTTGCTGAAAAGATGAATAAGAAATAATTTATTTGTTGCATTGTCAGTGTGCATCTCCCTCATAGACTGTATCATCTTGTCTGCTTAGAAATCCCCCTGAAAGTTTTCACATTTTTCCCTTGGAGATACCCATTCAGCAGATTTAAGACTGGGTCTCTGATGTTCCATGATCTGTAACAAAGCTAAAAATAACTTTGAGGTTACTCACAGTGCACTTACATGAGTCAACTCAGTCCCTTATCTACCTCACCATGAAAGGTATCGGGATTAAAGTCTAATCTGGAGATAATCATGCAATATAGTCATGGTTGCAGAATAACCCAATCTCCACGTTGGTCATTATTTCCGCCAAGGCAGTTCTGTTCTGCTCGCAACAGTCAGGGCACATCAAACGTTTTTTGGAGTCGGTTCTGCACACCCAGCTACCCAGCTTCTGAGATAGAGGGGAGCCAGTTGCAAGTGAAGGGACGTCAATCCCCAAGTTTCTTATAGATTTTCAAAGTTCCCCCCGACAGATAAGTCATCTTGGAGGTAAAGTTTAAACTTGCTTAAGTTGTGGCAAGCTTTGTTTTGTTTCGTTTCTGGAAATTGAATAATATTGGATAATGTATTGCAACACGGCCCATTATTTTGGAGTGACGCTCGAATGAAGAATGGTTATGTAATTTAAATCTCACTGCAACAAACAACAACTGCGACGATACCAAGGCAACCTGATTTCCATTTATGAACAAGCAAATAGGTAACCGGCCATTATCTCAAGTGACGTAAGAAAAAATGAAGATTATAGAACAGGACAGTATAGTTTTGAAAATGCACGTGAGAAGAAAAACAGCTTCACCATCCTTAAATAAAGATACTGATATAAAAAAAAGTATCACAGAAAAAGTGATAATGAAATTTACCGTGCAGTGGGGGAAAACAGTGGTCCTGTATGATAATAAACAAGAAATAAAGGGCAAATAGCGACGTTCAGTTTGATATTAAGGAAAACGAGTCTTATTGCCATAGGCCAATGCGCCGTCTACGAGAATATCTAGAAACCATATTTTCAAAATGCGTGTCTTGATGAGGGCTCATTTCGAGTATCCTTAGGCAAGCATGAAATGTTTGAGGAATATCAAACACTTGTCTCTACTCCCAAGGATCTATTATCATGTCGCTTTTGCAATAGAATGTTGATGAATTTCGCTAATCTACAACGCAAATGTTTATTTCGCAACCTCCTTGCACACCTGATGCCAATTGCTGTATGAAGAGATGGATAAATATAGATTGATAAATACCCAGGATTCGTCTCCAATGAAAATTATGCAGTAGAATATTTAATAGAAGGTCACATATATCGCGCTTTACCGAAAAGGTGCAATCATGGAGGCGTGTTTATCACTCACCGCCCCGTGGATGTACAAGTCGATTTGCTTACTGATTCTTCTATTTTTTACGTGTGAACAGTCAGTCCATGTAGATTTCATTGGAAGTCAATTGCTGTTTCCGTGGTTATTGCTTTCAGACTTCTCCGAATTGCAAAGGTTCATTCACAAGAGAGATTACTGGAGTAGATGCATAAAACCGCGGAAATGTCTGAATTTATGAAAACTCACGGTAATTGCTTTTCCACACAAGTGTTTTCGAGTCACATTAGAGCTTCGTTTCGCCGAGGTAAATCTGTACTGCAGCTTGACCGAAGTGAAGGGTGTAGTTGGATTTACAGGTCTTAGATTTAGTTGGGAAAGTGGTTTTTAAGACGAGGAGTAACTTGGAATTCTGCAGTCGTTGTGTGATTCTGCGATCAGTGTGAGGCTTAAGGTGAAATTCTACCTGTCTAAGAGTAAAGATAAGAATCTGCGATCATGATTTCAGTTTAAGGGTAAACTTCTGCAATCGAAACGTGTGATTAAAGGTGACACTCAAAAGGAAGGATGATGGTAAGAGTGAATGTGAGGCTAGAGTGAAATTCTGCGACTTGAAGATGAGGTTTTAGGGTGATTTTTGTGATCGAGGTATGAGAGTAAGGACGACTTTGCGAAAAGGTCGTCCTTGTGGTTTGAAGAAAAAAATCGGCGATCGAACTGTACACGTGAAATTCATCGGTCAGAGGAATAGCTTTAGGGTGAAATCCTCGCAGTCGAAGGGTGAGGATAGGGATTAAATTGGATGATCGAGATGTAAGGTTAAGGGTGAAATTCTGCGATCGAAATGGACACGAAGGGTGAAATTCTGCACATGTGAGGTTAAGGGTTAGATAGTGCGATCGAAGAGTGAGGTGAAGGGTGAAGGGTGTGGGAAAGGACTTAACAAGGCGTAGGGATGAAGACAGGTAGGGCGAGACGTCACGGGGAAAGTGAGGTGGCGCCAGATAATGATCATTAATAAGACCTTTGAAAAGTCTTAAATAATTTTCACTCACGGACGAAAATCTAAACGAGTATATTGCGAACAGCTGTCTACCGTTTAATAAGCTAGACTCGAGGAAGGTCCCAGTCCCAGGGCGTCGCGGTCGGCCGTTCCTTCCTTTGGCTCCTCGCGCAGGAGCGGCCGAGCCAATGGCAGGTGTATATGGCTTTTATTGCATTATCAACGTACATGATCCTTCTCTCGCGAGGTTTCGAAAACAGCGGTTGATCGAGTGTTTGCTTCTGGTTAAATATATTTGATTTACTCCCGTCTAGCCGAGTGCAAACTACACATGCACATCGCATGGCGTTATTAGCGAGTGTGCGACGCGCTCTCTGAAAACGGAC